GGTCTAATTTATTTCGTGTAATTTTTTTTTATATTTTTTGTAGATTCATTTATTTTTGAAGAACACACGCCTAAAATTTCAAATGATTTGGATTTGTAGAAAAAAAAATTAAAATTCAAACACTATCGGACATCCATGATCGTCAGATCGGCTCAAATTGATCTGGGTCATGGGCGTTTACTGAAGCAGTACGCACCTGGGCGCACAAGATTGGTGCCTACTTAAAAGAGTGAAATGTTGGGAACCGAGACTTTCTTGATAACCCCTTGTCACAATGAATCCCCCCAGTACGACAAATCTAATACCTCAAAACCAACTTGCCTATTACGGGCAAATCGATTTTAGGTATTCCACACCCAAGAACCGAATATAGTATAGTAAATTTGGAAAAAATCAGATGAAATCAAGATAAAGTAAAATAAGAAATGCAAAGATACATTCACACACCACAAACTATAATCCAATCACCACGAATAGATAAATATACATGGTTCACCCTAATTGGGCTACATTCGTGGGCAACAGGCAAGGAAACTTTTTCATTATCATGGAAGATTTACAAGTTTTATGGGTATGTAAAAATTACTTCATAATGACAAAGAAAAAGCTCAAATGGATTTTTCATACCACAATAATACCATCAATCGATTCCTTTCTTTGCTACAGTCGACGAAAATTGTCGCCGCAAAGAAGTGCTGATGAAATCTGGTCCAATACAAGAGCACAACAAAGCTAGGGTTTGTGCAAAACTTCAAATCTCTATCTCCCAAAAACTTCCTCTTTTTTTTTTCTACAAGAACTTCTCTCACAAATACCCACATGATACTCTTATCTTTTTCTATAATGACTTTATGTAACCTATAAAGGTCATTATATATTTGACCAAAATATCTTTGGATAATACAAGAAATACCTGAGGTCAAATGAAAGGTGATTTTGCATCACCATCCCAACAATTTACCGGGCATGTGCTAGATTTGAAGAAAAGTTTGATTTCATTTTCTTCTCTAGATATGGACGGTTACATATTTATTGAGCAAGGTGGAGTGCTCAAAGTTTCAAAAGGGGCTCTAGTTATGATGAAGGGAGTCTAGGAAGAAAACTTGAATTAATTATTGGGCAAAACAATTGTAAATTGTGATCATCATCATCGTTAGAGCCTTTTCCTAACTAATTGAGTTCAGCTACACGAATATTGGTCTGCCATATACTCTATTAAAGTCCATACTTTCAGTGAGGCCATAAGTCACCATATCTTTTCGCATTATTTCCAACTATATCCTTTTGGGCCTACCTCTCGCCCTTTTTGAGCCTTCACTTGAACTAACTCGTACACCGAACAGGTGCTGTGTTGGGTCTACGCTACACATGGGTAGCCCACCTAAGTCTACTTTCTCTCATCTTATTGCCTATTGGTGTCACACTTAAATTCTCCCATTTCAAATTCTATCCCTTGTTGTTTTGCCACTCATCCATCTCAACATCCTCATTTCAGTACACTCATTCAATGTGTATGTTGTTTCTTGACCGCTCAACATTCTGTCTTATAAAGTAACGCTGGTCTAACAACTGACCTATAGAACTTGCCTTTTAGTTACATTGGTATGCGGCGATCACATAAAACTTAGGTTGCACATCTCCACTTCACCCACCCAGTTCTAATTTTATGTGCAACATCTTCCGTAATCTCTTTATTTTTCTGGATTATCGACCCAAGATATCAAAAGTACGATCATTTTCGTATTCATTGGCCGACAATCTTAACTACTTCCTCATTACTACTCCTATTATTAGTAAGCTTGCATTCCATATACTCTATCTTAGTCTGGCTAATTTTAAAACATTTAGATTCTAGAGCATCCCTCCAAAGTTCTAACTTTGTGTTGATGTCGTTTCGTGTCTCATAGATCAAAACTATCTTGTCCACAGATAACATAGTTTTGATCGTAAATTTGGTTGTAGAAAAAGAAAAAACTCGGCAACAGGTACATGGTTTAGCAATGGATGATCTTGATAGACAGTTTTGGTAAGGATATTCGGCGAGGTGGAAAAATTGATGATTTGGAGCTTTCAAAAGAGGATGGGAAGCTGGAAGGACCTATGTTTTTATTCCGAAACAGTGCTCAAAATTTGGTGAAGGAAGTGCCGATGTGATTAGACTATTGTATACAACTCTAGTTTCAATTTTGATCATTGCCATGGTTTGTATAAAATTTGTTATTTCACTTGTTTGTGGTCTTATTGATTGGCTTGTATTTAGCCTAGGAAGAAAATGTTGGAATGGAGTGAAATGGCTACTGTAGAAATTAAGAAGTACGGGCACGTAATGCCAAGATTTTGGGCATATGCATGGCTTTGTGGGAGAGACTTGTGCAAAGGATCCCGGTCAAATGAGATCAAACACTGGTTATGCTTGGAGGTGTGTAAGAAGGGTCATAAAGCATATGAAGCGATGTCATGGCCTCAAAGAGGTCAAGGAAGAGAGAGTTAAAGAAGGTGGAGTTTGCGTGAGAAGCACAAGCACGAAGGAAGATGAACAAGGCATGTTTATGGAGGTTATTGGGCTAGAGAGCTTCATTAGCTAAGTTTTCTAGGTTCTTCTAGAAAGGAATAAACGAACATAGATGGCAAGGTGAGGATGTAATTTTGCATCAAGTTGGAGATTGCTGGGATGATGATACAAAATCACCTCTTATTTTATTTAAGTTATTTCTCGTATTGTTCAAGGGTAATTTAGTCAATTATACAATGAGTTTTATAGGTTACATAAAGTCATTGCATAGAGATGGACGAGTATCACGTGAGTGTTTGTAAAGAAAACTCTTGTAAAGAAAATGAAGAGAAGTTTTGTGGGAATAGAAATTGGGGGTTTTGCACAAACCCTAGTTTTGTTGTGCCCTTGTATTTGGTTGGATTTCATGGGCATTTTTTTGCAGCGACGACGCTGGTCGAAGGTAGCAAAGAAATGAGTCGATTGATAATATTATTATAGTATGAAAAATCCATTTGAGTTTTTTTCTTTGCCATTGTAAAGTAATTTGTACATACACATAAAACTTGTAATTCTTCCATGATAATGAAATCGTTTCTTTGCCAGTTGCCCGTGGATGTAGCCCGATTAGGGTGAACTACATATATTTGTGTGTTTGTGGTGATTGGATTAGGGTTTGTAGTGTGTGGTTGTATTATTGCATTTCTTATTTTACTTACTTGATTTCATCTTATTTTCTCAAATGTACACCATAGTCGGTTCTTGGGTGTATGGATTTCTTGAGATCGATTTGTCAGTAACAGGCAAGTTGGTTTCAAGGTATTAGATTTGATGTAGTGGGGGGTTTCATTGCAACAAAGGGTAATCGAGAAAGTCTCATTTCCTAACATGGAATAATACATTGAGGATTTTTTTTATACTAGTATATCTTTATGGATACATATAGCATGCCCTCTTGGGGGCATGTCATATATTCTCTGTTTGCATTTTTACCTTGTGCGTGTCTTTGTTAAAAACATTATTCACTTTGACATTGTTTTATTTTTCTTCTTTCTTATATCTATGTTACTAATTGACATTGTCTTGTTATCGTTTTATTTATAGATCCTACTTTTTCTTAAGCACTCACCTATAAAATCAATTCAAATTTTTTGCCCATGTCCTGCATTTGGCCAAAGAGTCATCTGATTTGTCAAGACAATTTCCCTGTATCTTACCAGGATTTCTTCCTGAGCACCTTTTAACCGTAGTTGATTTGTATATTTTCAATGTTATCTTATGCCGACTTTTAGTCATTTAATGAACGAAACATTGTGTAATGAATGAAACTGAGTTATCAAGAAAAACAAATCCTATATATGTGTTCTGGGTGATTGAGGGAGGGTGGGGAAGTTGTGAACAACAGTGGGCCTGTTTAACATAAAGAAGTCAAAATTCAAGCTCTTATACATGTATGTCTTGTAAATTTAGTTGCTTTTTGCTTGATGATGTAAAAAAGATTTTAATGCCAAATTACTATCCTGGTAAAACAATATTGTGTATGTATAATTGTTTCAATTTTCAATTTTCTTATGATATTAGTAAATTTTCTTGAGTTATTTATTATGTGGATTGAGAACTTCAGGGCATGAAACCTGATCGAGTAAGCCACATGTACCTCTTTATGTATTTATCAATGGTGGTTCCAAGCTGATTTTACCTGCTATGTGGGGCATGGTGGAGAATCAATGCAGCCACTCAGGCTCGGTGACCTCTATGTGTTACTAAGAACTTAAAAAGAAAAAAGGATAACATGATATAAGATTTCAACTGCATTTGTCTTGTGTGTGTGATTATATGTGATTTAATGGTTAGATATTATTGAAACCCAGTCTTAATCGATTTAATGGTTAGATATTATTGAAACCCAGTCTTAATCTTTGGGCACCAAAATGACGTAAAAAGTCCTTTTTTTTGTATCTTGTCATGAATAAATAGATTTTCTTTTTTCCTCTGAAGTAAAATAACATATAATGGTTTATACTGTTAAATGCCTATGCCCCTTTCATGCTGGATTTAATTTTATATTTTCTTGATTTAGTTTTATATTTTCTTGACTACTGATCTGAATAGGCACTAAACACTTCTTCGAATGTCTTGCTCTCTTTTAGAGGTTCCACTAGCATATGGTCAAAAGAGAGAAAGGAAATATAACTTATGCTTAACTGGGCTTGGCTAGTTCAGTATTGGGACCTATACTAGAATTCTAATTTTTTGATGACAATGTGCCTGCTGGCTCCAGGTTGAGTTTTTCTTTTTTTGTCTTGATAGATTGATAGCCCCACTACGTTTTTCGTTTTGAATGTTTGATAGCCTCACTACATTCTCATAGAAATGTGCACCTCCTACAGTTTTTGGGATCCAATTTCTACTGAGTTCAACTCTTGCAGTATTCAGGATTTGTTGGTTTCATGTACTTTCTGCTGTTAAAACCTTCGCTTCTGGTACGTTGTTTCCACGTTCTACTGAGTGAACTTCTCATTTGCTGCTTCATGAAAGTTTTTCTATAGGGAAAAGGTTATATAGAGCTGAGGCTCTAAACAATCAAATTTGAGCCTACCTCAAAAATCTCAATAGAAGAGGTTGTTTTGATTCCCAAATATCTCAAATTGATAATCTTGACATCAAGATGCATGGACATGAGAAAAAAATGGATTTCTAGTTTTGGAAATACTGTATTTTGTAATGCAGTTTTGGACTGTCAGTTTTCAAGATTTTCAAGTTTTCATAGATCTGTCGATCAACACTGCTTTTGAAGCTTTAAACTTTATAAATAAAGATGAAAATATATTTTAATGCTATCACAAAGATTTCCAATATTGAATCTACATTTCGTGACACTATTTGAAGGTAGGCTCTAATTTGATTGTTTAGAACCTAGGCTCTATACAAACCGCACCCTTTTCTATATATCTTTGGTGTTAGCATTTTTCTGTACTTAAATCTGTGCTGTCATTTTTCTGTACTTAATCTGGCCTGTCATATCGTTCTACTCATATAGTTTATGTATCCTACTCCATTAGACTAAAGACGAGCATAATCAGTTAGGGTTATCACTGTTGATGGATAATTAGAGTTGGGCCTCCATTTCTGTAATGTTCTGTTGTGGTGGGTCCCTCTCTCTATCTCCCATCCATTTCATTTGACAGTGCTGAACCTTGTAGTGTGGTGTGGTTTCCATTAGGCCTTTGACAATTTTATATTTTCCTAATAAGTTTTAGATGGTAGCATCCAAGTTTATGAAAAAATTGATTTTCTTACTGTATGGATAATAAGAGTTGGGCCACCATTTCTGTAATGTCCTGTTGTGGTGGGTCCCTCTCTCTATCTTCCATCCATTTCATTGGAGAGTGTTGAACCCTACAGTGTGGTTTCCATTATGCCTTCGACAATATTATATTTTCCTAATAAGTTTTAGATGGTAGCATCCAAGTTTATGAAACAATTGCTTTTCTTACTATATGAATGTTTTTTCACCTCAGCAATGCAAAACAAGAGAGCTGCTTCTTTCCAATCCCTCAAGCGGCTGATTGCATTCTTCGGAAAGTGCAGAGAGCAGACACACCGGTGATTTATCTCTCAACTGATGCAGCTGAGAGCGAAACCAATCTCCTCCAGCTGCTTACCGTGGTTAATGGAAAGACTGTTCCTCTAGTCAAGAGGCCATCTCATAATTCCGTGGAGAAATGGGATGCCTTACTTGTAAGGCACCACCTTAACTCAGATGATCAGGTAGTAAATTGTCTCCTTTTTCCAGAATATATATTGTTTAACTATAAAGAAGTCTTTTGCCTCCAGGGCAATTGATTGCTTAGTTTTTCATTCTCCCCTTTATGTCTCTATTATCATGGGAATCTTCGAAAATGTTGATGTTTGTTAACTGTTCTCATTTCCTAAAGGTTGACGCCATGCTCGACAAGACGATTTGTGCCTTGTCTAAGGTGTTCATTGGAGCTTCCGGCTCAACTTTCACAGACGACATCCTAAGGTTAAGGAAAGACTGGCAATTGGCTTCTGATTGTGATGAGTACTTGTGCCAAGGTGAGCAACCCAATTTCATTGCAGAAATGGAGTGAAAAAAGAGAATGCCTGATTTTCTCTCCAAAATCACCTGAGAATCTCTCTCCTCAGTTCGGTGTGATTGCCTGTATATTTCATAGCGCTTCTTTTGTATGATAGTGTATTCTGCTTCTATTGAGCAATTTGGCTTTGTATCAATTGGTTCAGTGTTTCACTTCCTGTGTAAAGAGTTTTTGTTTTACAATGATATACTTCTCACAAAGTCTCACTTCCATGGACAGACATCATCATCATCATCAGTCTCACTTCCATGGACATAACTAAGGAAAATGGAAGCTGTTAAAAAATAGAAATATTTTTTTACTGAGCTGAGTATGATTGCAGTGATAAAGAACAGAGAAACAAAATAGACTGAAACGAACAGAGACCACGAAGAGACTGTAAACAAAGACCACAGAGAAATCAAGGCAACAGGGAAACCTCTTTCTTTGTGGTCTTTTGGTATCAAAGCCCATATCATTCTTTGGTTCTCATCAGTGTTAGAAAGTGCGACTCGAACCGAGTAATTGGTCCTGGCTTGAGCTGATTACTTGGGCCCAGTTCGAGTAACTCAGTCTGATTAGTGTTTAGTACTGTAGCAGAGAAAAAAGGTCAAAAAATTATAAAAATCCAAAAAATAGCAAATACATGTTTAAAGTAAGATTATGCAAAACATTTCAAGATGATGTTAAAAAAGTAGTAAAAACATAAATTTTAAAAAATCAACATGTGATGGGGGGTATTTTTGAAATAATCTAAAAAAGATGAAAAAAATATAAAAGTAAGTATTTATGACCAAAACACTTTTCAATTTTTACTAAAATGATAGAAAGCATAAAAAGACCAAATAAATTTCTTATTTTTAAAGATTTTTTATTATTATTTTTTTAATATCCTTGAGTTGGACATCCAACTCCAGACATTTCAAGATCGTCAAGGGCCTGAGCCCAAGTAACTCCGCCTAGTAGAAACCATTTGGCCGATTTTTCAATCACTGATTCTCATATCCTCTCTGGTCTTTTGTGAGCTCATGACTCACAGTAGTTAGTCTGCTGTCTTTCTATCGCCCTTACGAATCTTGGTGGGATTTTTAGGTGTGTTTTGTTCTTCCTATCTCTATTCTAATTACTATGATATTATATTATTATATTATAATACTATTATAATATAATAATAGTAATAATATAATAATAATATTGTTATAATACAATAGTAGTAATAATATAATAATATTATTATTATAATACAATACTATAATAGAAGTAACGATGATGAAAGGATGATCATGATGATGATGATATTAATAACAATAATAATAATAATTAAATAATAATATCATATTATTTTATTATTATTAACATGATATAATAATATTATAATGAATATATCATAATAATATTATTATATTTATTATAAATATAATACAACATAATATAATTATTATTTTAATATTAATTATTAATTTTATATTGTCGATCTCTTCAATTAGTTGGGATAAAGTTTTGTTGATGATATTATTATTATATTACAATAGTTATTATATAATTATAGTCATTATTATATATAATAATTATTATGAAATATATGAATATACTATAATAAAATATAATAATAATAATAATAATATAATATTAACTTATTAGTATACTATAATATTAAAATATTATTATTATAACAGTAATATAATTAATACTAGTTAAAAGTTTATATAAGGATGCAACCTTTTAATGTAGAAATACAGATGCACATCAAAAATCCATCGGAAAAAGTAGTTTTAATGTTGAAAAGCCTTTTGGTTGATCATGAAAAATCGAGATGTATGACCATGAAAAATAAAAAGATTTGAAGTTTCAAAAATAGTGCATTTTACAATATATTATCTACACCGTCCATTTTCAAGATTTTCATATGTTTATATATCCACTTGATTTTAATCATATTTGAAATTCAAAATTTTATGATTAGATATAAAAATAGATTTTGAGATAATCCTAAGAACATTTTAGATCAAAATTATATACCATGATAAAATTTGACAACAATTATTATAATATATTATAATTATTATTATGATGTTATTATAATACTAATATTATTATTATAGTAATTAAAATATTTTTATTATAATTATTATAATATATTAACATAAATATAATGAGATTATCTACAAAGCGATCATTTGTCTTTTGTACATGGAAATCACAACGGATTATGATTCACATTCCCCGAGGTAAAATACCCCCATGGAGTTGCCCATTATCACCACCTTCCAAGTGGCACTACCCCCGGACCTGCGTTGCATGTTACCCATAATCCCCAAGGGCTGTTTGATTCGCGTGAAAACATGTTTTTAAAACTATTTTCACATGAAAAATTCTTTCATGTGGTTATGTATATGAATATTTTTACACCAATTAACTCGCAATTGGTATGAAAAGATGCCCTGGGACCAATTGGTGAGAAAAGATACTTTGGCCATGTTGTAAATTGAAATATTTTGACCCCCTTAATTATATTAGGAAAATGTTTATTCAAACAATCAAATTAGGGCGCAGCTCAAAAATTTCACTAGAAGAGGTTGTTTTGATGCCCAAATTTCTTCAAATTGATCATCTCGACCTCAAGATACAGGGACAATAGGAAAAAAATGCATTTAAAGTTTTGGAAATAGAGCATCTTGTAATGCATTTTTGGATCGTCAATTTTCAAGATTTTCAAATTTTTATGGATTTGCTCGATGTACACTATTTTTGAAGCTTTAAAATTTATAATTATAGATGAAAAAATATTTTAAGACTATCACAAAGATTTCTAGTATGGAAACCATATTTCTCAATACTATTTGAAAGTGTGATTTACTTTGATTGTTTAGCACCTCGGTTTTACACAAACTACACCCATTATATTATAAGGATTTATAACTTATGACCCCTTAAATAATATTTTCCCAAGGATGATTTACTAGAAAAAAAGAAAAAAGAGAAAAAAAAAAGAAAAAAAAAAGAAGAAAAGAAAAGACATATTCCTTTCAAGAAAAACAAACAGGTTGACGATATTGGAGGTAGACAAGGGAAAAGCTACCAAGAAACCATTCCCTTTATCTACTTCATTAATTAATTTGAGGATATAGGACCGGGTGTGGTTTCTATGAGGTTGCAACTTTAGACAATCCAATTAAGGCGCACCTTTAAATTTTATCATAACATAAAATTTTGATATAAAATATGTATCTTCAAATTTTATCATAACATATAATTTTGATGCAAAATATTCTTATAATTATCTTAAAATCTATTTTTATATCTAATTTTAAAATTTTAAACTCCAAAAATGGTTGAAATAAAGTAGATCCATAGACATATAAAAATCTTAAAAATGGACGGTCTAGATAATGTGTTGGAAGATGTACTATTTTTAGGACTCAAATATCTCTATTTTTGTTCATAGTCATATATCTCAATATCGAAATGATCAATTAGAGGTAACACTAAAACAATCTTTTCGATAGATTTTTGAGGTGCATCCATAGTTCTACATTTTAAGGATGCAACCTTATATAAACTTTTGCCTATAGGACCCAAGGAAGTCAACAGCCTTCTACTTATATGCTACAAGTAAAACCCCCTCAGTATTACATGGTTATTTAAATGGGTGTCAATGTACCTAAAATGTAAATATGTTTGTATATTTATTTTTTTAAAAAATTTATATTTTTATAAATACAAAATAAGGTTTATCTCCTCTAAACATAGGAAAGTATGGACAGAGAGATGTTTGCCCTCACTGTGATGAGATTTTTATAATAAGATTGGTTTTTTTTTTTTTTGTAACATTAACACAAACAGTGCGGTGAGAGTTTCACGTGCATACTTTAATAACAACTAAAACTTAACATTCTAGCATATATACGATCCTATAGAAAAAGTAAAGTCCCACACCCATGTGATAACTTTTCTAAAGATCTGTGCCAACTTTAATGGTGATCCTTCGGGGTCCTACACACATAAGTTGGAGAGGGTCTTATATGATCATTACTCTTAAGAAATATATATGATGTAATCATTTATTTTTGATACATGAAGGTTACAATCATTGTCAACAATTGGATGTAAAATTAATTGGTCACTAATTGAGTATGAAGCCCTCTCAAGAGTTGTGTTACATTTTAATGTGTTAGATTTCACATGCAATGGCTAAGAAAAAAAGCTGTGACTTTCTTCTATAACAAATAAATGGTCTCATAGTATACAATCACTATATATTGTTGCACCTACTATAAGATAAAGTTACTTCAACCATGAAGACCGTTAAGCATTTTGTGACAAAAAAAATGCCGACACTGATATTAAAAGTATCGACACTATACTAAAAAAAGATCACATAAACTGACACAATGGAAAATTGTTAGTGGCGTGTTATTGTGTGTCGACGACATGGTGGAAGTGTCAACACTTATCGACATGTGACATAGAGCTCAGTATAACCCCGGGTCAAAGGATTGTTCATGCATACCATTCCTCCATTCAAGTCAATCAAAGTATGCTCAAATGGTAAAAAATTCAAATCAGCCATTTATTGATCAAAATGGATAGGTGATGCTACTTGTAGCATATCAAGCAGCCTATTACATGCAGCTCAATTTGCAAAACAAGCCATATATCGAACATGCAAGATACAAAATAAAACCAAACGTGGAACATAAAAAGTAGCACACAAAAAAAGAAAGGAATGCATCCACTTTCTACATGAGCAAAGAGTAAGCTACTTTTCATTTATTCCCAAAAACAGTATTCCATCTTAATCCATAGTTACATGCCCACCAGTAACATGGACACTAACACTCCCATAAATGGAGAACCAAACACTGCTCTAATGTTCACAAAAATAATCAAACCCTACACCTATCTACAATGTGAACAGAGGGCAACAAACCAAATTATCCACTTACAGGGATAACGAGATACAAAGTGCACTGTCTCTTTACTTCTCAGTGCCAAGGTATTAAAATATAGAACCATGACTCGAATCGCCGGTTCCGGTCCACATCACCGATTTTTTAAACCTTGCTCATAGCCTTGCCTTGAAGGGCACCCCGGCAGCCTTCAGCCACAACTGCCCCTGTATGAACTCAGCCACTGTGAACTTCCACACCTCTTTCTTCACCTCCCCATCCACCTTCAATCCCCCCACCTCATCCTTCCCTTTGTGTCTGCCCTGGGCCCCCAATTCTTGTACTCCACACACTTCACTGTATCTTGCTTTGGCTCCTTGCCCCACGGATGCCACCCTCCCTGGCTCATGACATCCCCAAATAGGACTGCATGACCGTCACCCTAGCCTGTGATCTCCATGGCCTTCCCAAATAAGTGGAGAAATTTCCCTTCACAGCCTCTAGGTCGGGAGAGGCTTGAATGGTACAATTCTGAAAGATAAATCCAGTTTCTTGTGTGGGTTCAAACCTGCCATCAGCAGTTATCATGTTCTTCTGTTTCGGCATCGGCCTGCATGCAAAAAAGTGACAATTTTGGAATACTTCGGCCGCATTACCGAAGATGAAGTCAACGGTGCCATAGATGTGACAGTCCCTATAGAAATGGTGGAGGGAGTGGGCGTAGAGGGTGTCTTGGTAGGCTATGATATTGAGCCTAAAAAAAGCGGCTAAGTTGGATTGGACATGGAGGGCTACTGCCTGGCCCTTGGTGGGGCCGGCGGTATTGACAATAGCGAGGGCACGGACCATGAAGCCATTACCGAATACAGCTGCGGTATAAAGATGGTGAAATTTAAACATAGTCACCCTAATTTTACATCAAGTAGCTACTGAAGTTCAAAATTATAAAAACGCAAAAAGTCGAGAGATGGTGAGATACAAATTGCAGAATCTTGAACTCGATTACTTACCAATTAAACACGTAGAAAGGTTATAACATACGATGCTTAATGGCTATAATATCAGTAAACCTCATTAAAGCTAACTTTTGAAGCACGCCAAGGCATGTACATATAAAACAGAATGCTTAAACCATATGAAAGAAAAATCAGAAACTAAGACTTAACATAAAAAATTGCACCTCAAGATATGCATAGTTCCATTAAAGAAAACCTAGGTATGTCTAAGTTGTAAATGATAAAAAAAATAAGAAGGTGGGGGGAGGGGGTAAAAAAGAGCCAATTTCAGACAGGGTTATGAAAGTTTTTAAATTATAAATAAAAAACAATCAAGAAAAACTAACAAACCAGAGTCTGTGTGAGAGAAACTTACATAGTGTTGAAGAGTTGAAGGTGGAGAGGCCATCCACAACATTCCTACTCCCTGTGTGATCAGGGTCTTCTCCATCCCCTCTCCCCACCTCCACATTCTCCCTAATATATCAGGAAAGACGAAACGAATGGCCCCTATGGTGCATTAACAACATAATTAACCATCACTCAAAATCATTTTCTTTATATAAGTATTAATTTTTATTTTTATATTATTATTATTATTATTATTATTATTATTATTATTATTATTATTATTATTCAGTTTCAGAAAATTAGAGTCAATATATATATAGAGCAACCTAAAGGTTTTGTAGCCTTTGGCCTTGAGCGCAAAATGTGTAAGCTCAATAAGTCCATATATGGTCTCAAACAGTCATCAAGACAGTGGTATTTCAAATTCCACATGGCTATAATGACTTATGGTTTTGAAATGCTTCAAGAAGACCATTATGTATACATTAAGAAGTATAAGAAAAGCATCCAGATACTGTCTTTATATGTTCACGATATTTTATTAATTGGAAATGATCTGGAGCAACTTACTGCCACGAAGGAGTGGTTGTCCTCTAAATTTGAGATGAAGGATATGGGTGAGGCGAGTTACATACTCGGTGTTAATATACATCGAAATGGTTCTCAAAGGTTTCTTACTATGTCACAAGAAACATATATCCAAAAGATTCTTGAGCGATTCCTTATGCAAGACTTAAAACCCATAGATACTCCAGTTGAGAAAGGGCATACTATAAATCTTGACATGTGTCTGCAGACAGAAGCTGAGAAGAACAAAATGTCACGTGTTTCATATGCAAGTGCAATTGGTAGTTTGATGTACGTGATGTTCTGCACGCGTCCAGATATTGCCTTAGAAGTGGGTCTCCTTAGCAGATACCAGAGTAATCCAAGACAAGGTCATTAGCAAGTAGTGAAAAGGATTTTTCGATACCTTTAAGGAACCTTGAGTCCAATGCTATGTTTTCAAGGAACCGATTTTACGGTTACAGGGATATAGTGATGCTGATTGGGCAGCAGACCTAGATGGACATAAATCGACTTTAGGTTATGTCTTCTTGCTAGGAGGCAGTGCGGTCTCATGGTGTATCAAGAACAATTTTGTGTCGCTCTCTCCACTATGGAGTCTGAATACATTGCTTGTAGTGGAGCAATACAAGAAACCGTATGGTTGAGAATATTCCTAACGAACTTGGGTGTTGTCACGATTGGTAATGAGTCTGTCAATGTATTTTGTGATAATACTGCAACACTTACTTTTGTAAAAGACCCAAAGTACTATGGAAAGCCAAAATATATTGATGTTAGATATCACTATATTCGAGACATTATTGCACATAAACAGGTGGTGTTAACTCATATTCCTACAACTAAAATGGTGGCGGATCCCTTGACTAAGGCAATTGTTAGGGCCGCACATAAGACTCATGTAAGAACTATGAGCCTCAAGATCATATGAGTTTAAAGGATCTTGGTTCACTATTATAATGAAATATGGATGTTATTTCATGTTATGATAGATTGTTTGTGCATTTTAATTCACACACAGTAGAGATTATCATTTAATTCGTCGGCAAGCTAAAGCTCACTACTCGCACGAGCTATGCTCAATATCTGGGATATTGGAGGATGAGATATACACATGGTGTATTTATCGCTTCAACCAATGGTTCGAGATGAGATTCCATAAGGGAATTGACATAATCTATTTAAATTGACGTCTCAAAGATCATGTAGCCTGCAAGTAGCTAGGGAAAAAGGGATGTTCAGGTTGACGTATGGATGTGACTGTGAGGAGCTAGATGACGACCGGTTGCGTGGCCACGAAAAGACTATAACCTGCATAGTGTGGATTCCGACGCACATTTGATGTGATCTACCATGACGTGTGATTTATATTACATGTGTTATATTATTAACCAAAACACCTACTCATCTGGAAAAAGATGATCATGTTCCTTTTTGCTATTGTGTAAAGCTAATAAGTATGTGACCCATGATGCCCTCATAGACCTTAGATTGCATTAAAAATTTTTACTTCGATCATTCACTTTGGCATACTCTATAGGGTCAAGTATGAAACTCATCTGGGACATTACTGAGACAATGGTCGGGGTCATAGTAGAATAGTAGAATAATGTATGTTGTAAGATAAGACCATTTGATATCACACTTTGTTTTGGTACCACAAGAAAACAATATACATTATGCTCGCATTGAAAGTAATTCTGTACGAATGGGCTAAGTAATCTTCTAAGCTGGGCTCATGAGGGATTAGTTAAGAATTTAGTCAGGTGTAGTCAAATCAGGTCTAGGACAGGTGAAGAAATTTTTGTTTTGCAGGTATTGGAGAGATGAGATGTTCCATGCTAGTTGGTTGGAAGCTTGGTATGGTTCTTTCTAACAGAATGTTTGCTCTAGTAGGTCGCACACCACATTTTCCATTTGTATGAAATAATACTCACGATGCGCGATAATAAACGACAACTCTTATATGGGCATGTAACCCCTCCTACATACGAGATGTGTGGGAGATGTATACATGAGAGTGTATCCCTAGTATGAGGGTACACCCAAGTGAACCGCACTCCCTTTATGTTTAACTTATGTTATTACATGAAGGGAGGTGGGGAGAGGTTGCACCTCTTCATGAGGGAGTTACCCTCCCATGAATGGCATGCATCATGCGTCATAAGGGTGTCTATTCATGAAGAGGTTACTCCCTCATGAATGAGATGGCCCTTTTCTCATTATAAAAGGGGGAGGGGTGGAGGTCTCTAAACAACACAACACACACAAGAAAGTGTGTGAGCTAAACTCTTGAGAGATAGAGAAAGAGTGAGAGAGAGAGAGAATACAATCCCTCTCCTATTTGATATCTAAGGAGAGATCCGGCCCTGAAATAATTCTTATTTTTTAAAATATGGAATTTTATTGCAGCTGATTTTTAGAAGCATAAAATTTATTAAAAAATACAAAGTTATCATAGTAACTAAAAATTAAGAAACTATACTCTCATGATTCTAAAAAAAAATGTCATCACAAAAAGAAATTGCTCTGAGAAGACTTAAAATTGGTTTTCTGGAAAATGGGCATAGTTATTCTGAAGCATTTAAAAATTCATTATAAAAAAATTGTATGATAAAATATTTGTAAAACACAAAATATTGTTGAAAACATAACTTTAACTTTTGTGCCATAAGATTCTATATAGGGTGTGGTTTCTATAAGGTTGCAACTTTAAACAATCCAATTAAGGCACACCTTCAAATTTTAACATAACATGTAATTTTGGTGTAAA